TTGCAACTGCCTCCTGACCACCCCCAGGGCTCAGTTCTCAGGCCTCCCCTCCTCTATCAATACTCGGTCTCAGGGCAAACTGTGTATTAAAGGCTTTAAATAACATCTATCTTCCACCCCAACCTCCTCCCTGAACTCCAGAGATGCAGATATATAAACATGTATCTACCACTCTCTGCCCTGCTCATTGCACTCCAGTTACACTGCCCTTCTTGTCATCCTCATATCTGGCATGCTCCTGCCTGTGTGTTTATACTTGAAGTTCTCTCACCAGGGATATTCTTCCTCTGAGCAGTCCCATGTCCTTCTCCTCCACCATTTAGTCTCTCTTCCAATATTACCCTATGCAGAAGACTTTCCAAGCCCTTCTAAAATAGTATCTTCTTAGCCTACTCTATGGCATTTGTCACCAACTGACAGTCCATTATCTATTTGCATGTTCATTTGCTTTACTGTCTCCATATCAAAATGTAATCTCCATGAAGGTAGGCGATTTGCCCAAGTTGTTCACTGCCTGGCACAGAGTGGGTACTAAAACATTTGTTGAATTTTAAGATACATGAAACTTTTCTGTTATCTTCAAAGGGTGGGATTATGAGAACCTTTCAACAGGTAACTTATACATTTCAGTGATGTTTGAAATTTTTACAATAAAAATGTTGATACAGTTTAGATATGTGTGCCTGCCCAAATCTCATATTGAACTGTAATCCCCAATGCTGGAGGTGGGGCCTGGTGGGAGGTGTTTGGATCATGGGGATAGATCCCTCATGGCTTGGTGCTGTCTTCACAATAGTAAGTGAGTTCTTTCGAGATTTAGTCATTTAAAAATGTGTGGCATCTTCTCCCCATATCTGTTTCTCTCTCTTTCTCTCACGATGCTATATGCCTGCTCTGCCTTCACCTTCCACCATGACTGTAAGCTTCCTGAGGCCTCCCCAGGAGCTAAGCAGACGCCAGCACTATGCTTTCTGTAATGCCTACAGACCTATGAGCCAATACGACCTCTCTTCTTTATAGATTACCCAGTCTCAGGTGTATCTTTATAGCAATGCAAGAAATGACTAATACATACGTAATTGCATATCAGAAAAACAAGAGCAAATAATAAAAATATTAAAGCTTAACAATAACAAAAAGGAATCCAATTATATGACCTGAAACTATGTTCATGTAAGTTACACAGAAGTTTATAAGTAGGTCAGTAGGACCTAGACGAGGATGACAAATAAGTTTTACCTTGGAAGCCAACTGTAGTTGGCTGACTGTGGTTGCTTGAAGCACTATATTGAAAGGGCCCCTGACACTAAATCAGTTTTAGCAGGCAGGAGTACCATACTGAGGGATATTTTCCAGGAAAACAGAAGGGGTGGGAATAGTGGCATTCATGCTAGATGAATTCCGATGCCAGATGAATGCCACTCCATGACTTTAAATCCAGGTGTGGACTATTTTCAACACTTTCTCTTCAGTTGGCTGCTTCCAAGAACGCCTATTTGTACACTCTTTGTCTATCTGAAATCCCCGTATCAATGTCTGAGAGATCTCAAACTTACATCCAAAACTGAACTTTTCATCTACAGTCCCCTTTAAAAACAAAAACATTACCTTTCTTCCAGTCCCCTCTCTTTCAGTAATGACACCTCATTCACTCAGCTGCCCAGATAAAAACTCTAGAAACTATCCTTAATTCCCCTCTTTCACTCAGCCCTAACCCATACATTTATATTCTCAAGCAAATCTTGTTAGCTGTACCCCAAAGCATTTGCTAACTTTTCTGTGTCCCTCCATTTCTAAGGTTAGTACCTAAGACCGAGACACCATGGCCTCTCACCTGGTCCACTTTAATATAATAGCCTTCTAGCTGGTCTACCTGTTCTCACTTGTGCCCCCTTATAATCTATTATCCACACAGCAGCCAAAATCATTTTTTAAAATGAATACCCGTATCGTGTCCCACTGCACTTGGAATAAAATCCAAACTCCTAACCCTAGGTAGTCTTCCCCAGTCTGTTTCTCCAACTTTATCTCAAACCACTCTCCTCTTACTGCCTATGCTTCAGCCATGCTGGCCTCCTTTGAGTATCAAAACTGCTTTCACCACTAGGCTTTTCTATCAACTGATCCCTAGACTAGAATGTTCTTCCTCTGATAAGCTTTTCTTACGACAATAAGATCTCATGTTAAAGGCCCCTTCTTCAGAAGTCTTCCAGATCTACTCAATTTAAAGTGGCAACTCAGTCACTATCACATAATCCTATCTTAAATCTACACAATACAAGTAACTGTTTGGCATTTGAGCAGTCTAATTTATTAATTTGTTTGTTGTCTCACTACCCTATTATAATATAGGATCAAGACAGTGAAGATCCTAAGAGTAAGTAGGCAAGAGGCCTACTTAATATTTAGTGAAGATGATTTGTGCAGTTTATAATGTGTGTCATATTCAGTAAAACAAGTTTACTTTGTGTGTCTGTGTGTGTTTATTTATTTATATTAGAGGAATAAATGAGTGAGAACAGAACTAAGTAAGAATTCTCAATTTGGAATTAAAGTAATTCTCTGAGGTTGAAAAAAACCCACAAATTTATTTTGATTCAAATTCAAAGGTACATATATATATATATATATATATATATATATATTTTCGCCAGGGAGAATTAGGTGCTGACTAAAACAATGAAAAAACAATTTGCCCTAATGGAGCTCGAGGGCAATAATAAACAGGCTATGGTAAGTAAATGCCATGAAAAGGGTACTACAGTATTAGGTGCTATACGTACACTTAACCAAACCTGGGAGGTAGAGAATCAGGAAATGCTTCCCAAAGAAATGCCATTTAAACTGAATCTGATCTAAAGGATGAGTAACTGTGGGAAGGGGTGTGGGGTGTGGCAAGGAAGACATGAAGTATAAGAGTATTTTGAATAGAGGAAAGATGAGCAAAGCCCAGAATCCAGAGAGCTGACAACATACTCAAGGAACTAAAACTAATTTACTGTGGCTGAAGAGCAACGTATGAATTGAGAAGTACTGAGAGAGACCAAAGAGGTCAACAAGGGTTATATATCATGAAGCCTGTTAAGGAGTTCGGACTCTATCCTAAGGGTAAGAGTCATTAAAGGATTTAAATAATTTTTATATGTAATATAACCCTTATTAACAAAAGATAATTTTAGCCAATGTGAAGAGTTTAGAGGGAGACAGAAAGGTCAACCTTGAGATTGTTACAGTTTTCCAGGCAAGACATAATTGTAGCCAGAATTAGAATAGTAAGAGTGGAGACAAACAAAAGTGAATATTAAGATTCTACTCTAAGAAGTATTAGAAGCAGTTAAGTGAACACTAAAAGCACAAATAAAGAGGTAGAGTTGTAACAGTGAATAAATTACCAGATTTCACAGAACATGGGACATCTAAGTTGAAATTTCAAGAAGGTACAGTAAGTTTCCAAAGAAGAAGAAAAGGCATTTTAAACTTTATGAAATCCTTTTATTTTCCTTTTTATATAGAGACAGGATCTTACTCTGTCACCCAGGCTGGAATGCAGGAGCACCATCATAGCTATCTGCAGCCTCAAACTCCTGGGCTCAAGAGATCCTCCTGCCTCAGCATCCCAAGTAGCCAAAGTGCTGGAATTATAGTTGTAAGCTACTGTGCTGAACCTATAACAGACTTTTATGTAGCAGAGTTATTTCCCTGTTCAAATAATTAGAAAAAATTTAAAAATCATCTGTATGTTTAAAATGTATATCCTATTTTTTTGGCAGAAGCTTTAAAAAAATCTCCATTTCTGACTCATCTTACATTATGATTTCATCATATTCTATTAAATCTATTCTAATAAACTATGAGCTATAAAAATCTTGAGTCTGGCCTCCAGCAGATCTTTGTCATCATTATAAAAGTTTTCCTGACAGTAAAATTACAATGAAAAAATAAAAATAGTCCAGTCAAGACATATACAGTGTATATGTAAATTTTTAAATAACTGAAGACTTTAAAATAATGGAACATATTGTTTTATCATTATAAACATTAGACCAATAATAAAATGTATCTCAGGATGAGTTAAACTTAAAAGATAACAACTGTACACTCTAATTCAGCAAATATTTATTGAGAATTTATACACCTATACACATACATGTTTCCATATACATTGGCACTATAGTAGGCAATAGAAAGATAAAGAGCTAGGAGGCAGATGCTGCCTCAAGAATTTTGTAAGCTAGATGGGAAGAAAGACATAATTCATTTCAAGTAGCACTTTTACAAGACTTCTACAATGATAATGTGACTTTATGAATAAAAATGGTTCTAGCAGAGGAGACTTTGATATTCTTTTGCATTTAATAATGTAAGATGCAGATGTCAAAGATTAATACACTAACTATAGTGAACATATTTTATATTTCCATTATTTTATTCTATAGATGTAATGTTGGATTCAAGAAAATTACTACTGATTTGAATTATGAGCAAAAAGTTTAACTGCCAAATATCAAAAAGAAACATCAAACTCTAGGTAAGAAATACATGGCAAACACAGAAGACATATGAAGATGAAAAGAGTATCTGGCTGGGTGCGGTGGCTCATGCCTGTAATCCCAGCGCTTTGGGAGGCTGAAGCAGGTCGATCACCTGAGGTCAGTTTGAGACCAGCCTGGCCAACGTAGTGAAACCCCATCTCTACTAAAAATACAAAAATTAGCTGGGCACTAATGTACAGCCAGTTGCGGGTGCCTGCAATCCCAGCTACTAGGGAGGCTGAGGCAGACGAATTGCTTGAACCCAGGAGGCGGAGATGGCTGTGAGCCGAGATCGTGCCACTGTACTCCAGCCTGGGTGACAGACAGAGACTCTGTCTCCAAAAAAAAAAAAAAAGCAAGCAAAGGAAAATCAACATAATTACATATTTGTATTTTAGATCTATAATTTAAGTAACATATTTATCTCCTGGTCTCACTTTAATACTTGAAAGTAACAATAACACTTACCTTACAACTATAAGAATGGCTATAAGAATTGAACAGATAGGATCTGCTATCATCAGACCAAAATTTTGCATCATGATGGCAGAGGCAATTACACCAATACTTCCAAGAGTATCTGCTAGGATATGTAAAAATACACCTAGAAATAAACCATCATAAAAATCAAAACAGTCTTTCGGTTAATTTAAAATACAAATATATCCTAGAGCTAGACTCTTAATTTTATATACAAAAAACTAGATACCAATTTCAAAAATAAGTAAGCATGTATATTCACCATTTAGTAACCATGTAATAGTACATTTATGAATTAAAATCAATTTTTCTGTTTCAAATCAACAGGGGTTGAAATATCTGACTGGTAAATCATACTTTTTCTTAATGATATAAATGAAGCAGAGAAGTTGATTTTCAAAATTATTTGTGAACATTCACCTCTGGCTAAAAGGAGTCCAAAAGTCAGTAATTTGTTATGGGAAGGAAACTGCATTAGGCTAAAAGAACCGGTCAAGAAACATTTTAACTATAGATATACGTACATACAGAGCCCTCTGCTGGTGATTAAAATTATTACCATTTGGGACTATAATTTCCTATAAACCATAACTTATCCTGTTACACTTATTAATTATCCTAAAAGCTCTATCTAAATTGGTTACATACTATACTCAGAGGTGATGTGAAAGCAGGCGCTAATTTCAATATTTTTAAATAAATATAAAATACATGCTGAACTTTTAATAATTAAATATTAAATTGGTAGGATACTGATGTTATACTGATATTCTAAGAACTTAGACATTTAGTAAGTCAAAGTTGCCCAGAAAACCATTTAAGATGTCAAGATTTATGTACAATATTTTCTGAAAAAACTCAACTAAGACAAATTATTCAACGTTTAGATCTTTAATACAAAATTTCTACATAGCAAAACATTCTTTTAAACTTCAACCATGTCTTGCTAAAAATAGAACATTCTTCAATGCCATCACCTGCCCTATCTGAAAAGAAATAGTTAATGCATAAAAAGCACGTATCTAGTTGAGAAATACTTGAGTTTTCGTTTTTAGTATTCACTGCACAAAAAAAGGTGAACCATAATTATTTGGAGGTACAGAAATACAAACTTAAATTCAAGAAATGTTCTCAAAACTTAAAAACTGACTGCTAATGAGTCAAATCAAATCTTGTGTTCTGGGAAATTATACTTCATTTTATCTGCCACTGATGGAAATTTATATCAAATATTATATTAAATATAAATCATCCCTCACTACCTACATATAACTTTTCATTTATATACAGTTTAACTCTATTATTATAACTCTTCTCCAAAAAGAACAGTTCTTTAAGAACTCTCTTAAAAACTTTTCCAAAACAAAAGAATTTTGTCATACTTACAGACATACTTATAGATATACAGATTTTTGTCATACTTATAGAATATTCAGTTCCTGTTAGGTATTTCAAACAGCAGTGAATTAAATAGGTTAATAATGTTGGGGCCACTTTAACTTTTAAAACTAAAACTGGAAAAAAAAATACACATCAAAGCAGATTGAAGGTCCCTAACTACAAACTCTTATGTATGATACATGCTTTTAAACCTTTATATCCTTTAATCAGTGTTTTGGTAGAATACAAAATGAAAATAACTCTAAACATGAAAGGAAAAAGAAAATAATGATTTGTTCTTGCTTTTCCTTAGACTGGAAAGTTGCTGGCTACAATTTATTTTCTAACCTGAAAACTGGTTTTATTAGTAAGTGTCATTAAAACTACCTAAGCCCTTCTTACTATATAAACTGTTTAAGAAAAAAATCACTAAGAAAGAAATATAAACAAGGATGTTTAACTTACACAAAGTTAAAAGTCTTAGAAGATGTGGTAGGATACTGATAACCTAACCCCCCAAAACCTTAGTAAGCCAGGAGTCAAAATGCAGCAAATAATTGAAAAACTTAATTAATTCAAGTTTTTCATGTATGAGTATCTATCTACCTGGTCATTTTACAAGAAGTTTTTAATGCCAGCTAGTTATCTCTGTTCTTCAGCTATTTACTGGGCTCTTCAGCCACCATAAATTGATAAGTATTCAGAAAATATAAACTTATTTTCATAATAACTTATATAAAAGAGAATTAGGAAGGCAAATCTAACTTCCTTTCCTCCAACTTGTGATGACTTTCAAAATTAAATTCTTATTATCAAGGCTAATTTATACTACTTGATACAGATGCATCAAATATGCATGATTATATGCTATTTCAGCAAATGTTATTCTAAAACAATTCCATATTTTGTAAATGGAAAACTTGTGCTTGGAAGACACATTTAAGCCTTCTGAAAATAAATTTCTCAGTATGAAGGAATATATTCACAGTGAAAAATAAAAAACGAGAGTTATATAAAGAAATAGTGAAGAAAAATATGTGTAGTTGAGATTGGATAAGAAGCCATTCAGAAAGTCAGACGGAAGTCAAAAGTTAATAAAGGCAAGTAGATAGCTGGGAATTAGGAAACCCTGACAATAAAGTCTAAATGGAAACTCAGAGCCAGAGATTGGTTCATAACCACCCCCCACAACAAAAACAAAAAAAACTCCAAAAACTAATATAATTCATAGACAGGATTGATTTTCTCTGGCTTGTAAAACTTTGTAATATACAATTTTACACAACATGTAAGCTCCTACAGGTATTAGCTATTGATGGCCTACAAATATGATGGAGTTCTCACTTTGCATTAAATTTTTAGCTCTAAATTTTCTCACAACATAAAACATATTAAATATTATTCTTGGAAAAACTATGTAATAATCCTGTAAAAGCAAATATACTACTACAGACAGTCCTCGACTTAAAAGGATCAACTTGTGACTTTTTGGCTTCATGATGGTGTGAAAGCAGTATGCATTCAATAGAAACTATACTTCAAATTTTGAATTTTGATCTTTTCCTGGGCTAGCAATAATGTGCTATGATCATCTCTCATGATGCTGGGCAGCAACAGCAGGCAGCAGCTGCCAGTCAGCCACGCAATCACAAGGGTAAACAACTGATATTGTACTCTGCAGTGGACTGTATTAAATAAATGACATGATATTCAACACTTTATTACAAAATAGGCTTTGTGTTAGATGATTTTGCCCAACTATAGGCTAATGCAAGTGTTCTGAGCACACTTAAGGTAGGCAGGGCAAAACTATGATGTTCAGTAGGTTAGGTGTATTAAATGCATTTTCAACCCACAGTATCTTCAACTTACCACGGGTTTATTAGGACACAACCCCACAGTAAATCAAGAAGCATCTATACAATGTTTATAGTCACAGGCGTGGGTATTACTTGTATTTAAGCAGAATAGTTTCTGAATCGTCTTCTTTTGAGACGAGAGTCTCGCAGGTTCCCCAGGGTAGTCTCAAACTCTTGGGCGCAAGCAATTCTCCCACCTCAGCCTCCTGAGTAGCTGGGATTGTGGGGACATGCCAACTACACCCAGCTCAATATTTTGCTTTTATTATCAAATCAGAGAAAACAGTCAAGTGATAATTAAAAGAATGTCTGCTAATATATCTAATAGCATATAAAAAATAATCACTAGAAAGGCTAACACTAAACACAAACACTATGTTATATATTTTTCTTAAAGGAAAACTTCAGACAACTAAAACTTCAAAACTATAAAAGCAGTTCCAAAAAACTAAGAAACACAAAGATTGCTTGTCATACCTTGTAAAATCTGTCTGCTGGGTCCTGTTGTTTCTTTTAAGGAGGGGCCATCTGTAGAGAATTAAGTTATTTTAAAACATGTTTTCAATTCCTGATTCAAATTTTTACAATTCAGAGTCCTTTTCACTCAAATGTATCACGAAGAATGCATAGCTATACAGCCACATCAAACTTACAAATTTATTTTTAAAATGTAATGAAATAATCGAGTGGAGGTAAATTTAGCGGCGGTAGTTCTAAAATTCATCAAAGGTATGGAGTATTTCAGAAATTATTGTATTAAAAAGATTAAAAGCACAGAAAATTAAAAACATTGTGAAAATTTTCCAATATTCATAAAATATCTTTTAATACTTTTACAACTGGAAAATTCAGAGAAAACCAAATGTACTGCTTGAAGTTATGAGGTCCAAGAAACGAAGCCAGGATAGAAAGATAACTCGACTATGGTAAATAGTTTTTCAACAGCTTCTAGATTAATGTGGCAAATTCTTGATACAGAAGAGATAAAAATAATTTTTTTCATTTTGCCTTTACGATAAAAAAATGCTATAATTTCTATCTTTAAATATCTTGAAAATTACTAATCAGCTTTAACATTAAAGCAGAAAAATACAGGAAGACAAGGCAAAAGATGAGCAATATTTGTTTAAACAGATTATCAGGAAGACTGACAAGCTTTCTAATCACAACTAACAAAGTACCTGCTATCATCATTTGTTCACGGCCCACAGCACAGTACCTTATCAGTACAGCTTTTATAGAGCATTGTAACAATGTTCTGCAATAATGTAACAAAGAAATATAAAAGCATAACACCATATAATATTTCCTATCTAGATATTGTACTGCTGTGTGGGAATGAAGAAGTAGCTACCCTGAAAAATCCAGCTGATAGCCAAAAGTGTGAGAGATATGCAATTTTTCAACATTATTTTGGGATGCATGTGAGCAAAGTTGGAAAAGCAAGGTTTTAAAGCATGCCAGTGTAACTATTATAAAAATACAGCATATTTTAGAGACTGACACAGGCAACAGGCAAAAATAGACAAGTAGGATTACATCAAATTAAAAAGCTTCTGCAAGGCAAAGGAACCAAATAACAAAATGAAAAGGCAACTTACAGAATGACAGAAAATATTTGCAAACTATGTATATGATAAAAATATATACAGAACTCACAATCAACAGCAAAGTAAATAAATAACCTGATTTTAAAATGGTCAAAGAGTCACAGAACATTACATGTTCTCATTTATTGTGGAGTATAAAAATTCAAAACAATTGAACTCATGGATACAGAGAGTAGAAGGATGGTTACCAGAGGCTGGGAAGGGTAGTGTGGTGCTGCGGGGGGAGAGTGGATAGTTAATGGGTACAAAAAAAAAGAAAGAATGAATGAATAAGATCTACTATTTGATCGGACAACAGGGTGACTACAGTCAATAATAATTGTACCTTTCAAAATAACTAAAAGAGTATAACTGGATTGTTTGTAACACAAAGGATAAATGCCTGAGAAGGATACCTCATCTCCATGATGTGATTATTTCACACTGCATTCCTGTATCAAAATATCTCATGTACCCCGTAAGTATATACACCTACTGGTTGGGCACGGTGGCTCACACCTGTAATCCCAGCGCTTTGGGAGGCCAAAGCAGGTGGATCACAAGGTCAGGAGATTGAGACCATCCTGGCTAACACAGTGAAACCCTGTCTCTACTAAAAATACAAAAAGTTAGCTGGGCGTGGTGGCACATGCCTGTAATCCCAGCTACTTGGGAGGCTGAGGCAGGAGATTCACTTGAACCCGGGAGGCAGAGGTTGCAGTGAGCCGAGATCGCACCACTGAACTCCAGCCTGGGAGACAGAGTGAGACTCTGTCTCAAAAATAAATCAATAAATCATAAGAATGTACACCTACTATGTACCCACAAAAATTAAAAATAAAAAAATTCATTAAAAACAATTCAAAAAATAATAAATGGCCAAAGGAATCAAATAGACATTTCTCCAGAGAAAACACACAAATGGCCAACAGGCTCAACATCACTAATCATCAGGGAAATGCAAATCAGAATCACAATAAGATATCATATCATACCTGTTAGGATGGCTATTACCAAAAAACCAAAAGACAGTAAGTGAGGGCAAAGCTGTGGAGAAAAGGAAACCCTTGTTTCCTTTTCTTTTACTGGTGGCAATGTAAACTGGTGCAGATACTATGGAAAACAGTATGGAGGGTCCTCAAAAAAACAATAATAGAACTACCGTATGATCAGCAAACTGGGTATATACCCATGAGAACTGAAATCAAGATCTCAAAGAGATATCTGCACTTCCATATTCACTACAGCATTATTCACAATAGCCAAGACATGGAAGCAACCTAAATGTCCATCAATGGATGAATGGGTAAAGCAATGTGGTATATACATACAACGGAATATCATTCAATATTATTTCTTTCTTAAAGAAAGAAATCCTTCTAATTTTGACACATGAGTGATCCTGAAGGACATTATGCTAAGTGAAATAAGCCAGACACAGAAGGACAAATACTACATGTATACCACTTTTATGAGGAATCTAAAACAGTCAAACTCATAGAAATAGAGAATAGAACAGTGGTTGCCAGTGGCTAGAGGAAGTTGGAAATGAGGAAATATTAGTCAAAGGGTACAAAGTTTCAGTTGTGCAAAATAAATAGGTCCTAGGGATTTGTATGGCATAGTGCCCATAGCTAATACTGTATTGTATACTTAAAAATCTGCCAAGAGTGTAGATCTTATGTTAAGTGCTCTTACTGCAAAAGTGAAAGAAAGAAAGAAAGAAAGAAAGAAAGAAAGAAAGAAAGAAAGAAAGAAAGAAAGAAAGAAAGAGAGAAAGAAAAACAAAAAAAGAAAGAGAAAGAAAGGGAAAGGGAAAGGAAAGGAAAGGGAAAGGGAAAGGGAAAAGGAAAAGGAGGAAGGAAGGAAGGAAGGAAGGAAGGAAGGAAGGAAGGAAGGAAGGAAGGGAAGGGAAGGAAAGAGAATTGACAGTAGGAGGAAACTTTCAGTGGGAATGGATATGTTTACTGGAGAAATCATGGTGATGGTTTCATAGGTGCATACTTACCTCAAACTCATCAAGTTGTATACATTAAATATTTATCTCTTTCCATATGTCAACGTCAATCATATCTCAATAGAGTAGTTAGAATTTTTTTTTTTTTTTTGGACAGAGTCAGCTCTGTTGTCCAGGCTGGAGTGCAGTCGCATGATCTCAGCTCACTGCAACCTCCACCTCCTGGATTCAAGCTATTTTCTTGCCTCATGGAAAAATTTCAAAGACTGAAAAATGAAGGGCTTAGAAGGCTTACTCTCCAAGGTCCCTTTCATATTTTCAATTCTAAAGCTGTAAGATTCTGTCTATGTTGCAAATACAAGATAATGCTTTTTTTTTTGAGACGGAGTTTCGCTCTTGTTGCCCAGGCTGGAGTGCAATGGCGCGATCTCGGCTCACAGCAACCTCTGCCTCCCGGGTTCAAACCATTCTCCTGCCTCAGACTCTGGAGTAGCTGGGATTACAGGTATGTGCCACCACGCCTGGCTAATTTTGTATTTTTGGTAGAGACGGGGTTTCTGCACGTTGTCAGGCTGGTCTCAAACTCCGGACCTCAGGTGATCCACCCGCCTCGGCCTCCCAAAGTAGTGGGACTACAGGTGTGAGCTACCACGCACGGCCAATACAAGATAATACCTAAGTATACACTCTATTGAGAGTAATCAAATTGTGTCACCCAAGCAGCTTCTATTAAGCTATACTTTATAAACTATGTAAAATATAATTCAAAATAAAATATTAAGTTGATAAACACCTCGTAAGTTAGTACCCAATGCTATAAAAGTAAGCATCCGAAGATTTCTAAAAAAAATATAGAGGTAAACATCAGGTGACAGACATCAAAAATTATAATACAAATGTGAAAAACTGAAAACCTCTACCATATTTTTATAAGCCAATATAGCACAAAAGGCCTCATGATGCTTAAAAAATTATGATTTTCATTTCCTAAAATGCAATTGCTCCTCATTCACTAACACTCATTTAAAATAGTGACATTTGGGGGGAGGGAAGGGGGGATGGTTAATGAGCACAAAAAAAATAGTTGAATGAATACGACCTAGTATTTGCTAGAACAGAGTGACTATTGTCAAATTGCAATTTCATTGCACATTTTAAAATAAGTAAGAGTATAATTGGGTTGATTTTAACACAGGATAAATGGTTGAGGGGATGGAAACCCCATTTACCCTTATGTGATTACTATGTATTACATGCCTGTACCAAAATGTCTCATGTAACCCATAAATATATATACCTACTATGTACCCACAAAAATTAAAAATAAATACATAAGAGAGTGGCACTGTATTATGATACACCCCCTGGAAAAAAGCTAGCATCCACTGCCTTATCCTGAGTTAATTTCACGCTATACAAAAAATAAACTAGCCCTGGAAGCCATTTAGACTGATTCATTAGAAAAGAAGTTGATTGAGTATCTTTTTAATAAACTATTTCAACTAGGAAAAGTATTCCACAAAACTCTTGTTTATTTGGAGGCTGTCCATTTGTCTTTAGGCTGTACTCACCATGAGAATGAAAGTGTCCATGTCCGTGAGCATGATCATGGCTATGTGCAGCACCATATTTCACTTCATGGCTATGGCAATGATCGACATGGCCATGTGCCTGATCTAGAGCACCATTAAAGAGGGAATGACTGTGTCCATGGCCTAGAAGACAAAATGTTAGGACAGAAGGTATGTAAAAATATATAAATGGTTACAATTATACTGACACTAGTACAAAGAATAAGCTCTAAACTCAGATCAATTCAATAAACATTTACTTGTAAAAAGTGTTATAGATTTATTAAAACAATCCTAAGTTCCTGCTATGGAGTACCAAAAGGTAAGGAAAGCATAGAGGAAAGTAATAGACATTACTGGAAATGAAAATAAGTACTGACTGGAAGTATACAGATATATCCAAAGAGGTCAGATAATATTATTCATTCATTTGAGAAATATTTATTTGTAACATTTTGTATTATAGGAATCATTCTAGGCACCGGAGATGAGGCAGTAAACAACAAAGACAAAATTCATGGCCTAAAGTTTTCAAAGTACTCTTACACACACTAATAAAGATTAACAAGACATACGCAAATGCTCACATTAAGGCAGACACAAGAAAGTTGCTGCATTTGGTAACAGAATCAGTAAAATTACATTAAAGCAGGTAGAAAAAGCTAAATGCAAAAGAATGCAGAATCCTCTCTCCACAGCATACCTAAAAACGACTAAACCACCGAGAAGTATCTTATACAAGCTATTCTAAAGGACAGAAAAAGAGTGGATGCTATCCAAGTCTTTTATCACTTTTACAAAAATTCTAAATACCAGTAAATTAAATCTAGCACTGCACCATATGAAAAAATCATGACTATCAGGATCTCCAAGACATATTTACATAGTACATTTCATAAACACACACTCTGGTTTTTTTTTTTTTTAGACAGAGTCTTGCTCTGTCAGTCAGGTTGCAGTGCAGTGGCACGATTTTGGCTCACTGCAACCTCTGCCTCCCGGGCTCAAGCGACTCTCCTATCTCAGCCTCCTGAGTGGCTAAGACTACAGGCATGCGCCACCATGCCTGGCTTTTTTTTTTTTGAGACGGAGTCTCGCTCTGTCGCCTAGCATGCCTGGCTAATTTTGTGTTTTTTTGTAGAGATGGGGTTTCGCCATATCGCCTAGGCTGGTCTCAAACTCCTGGATTCAAGTGATCCACCTGCCTTGGCCTCCCAAAGTGCTGGGATTATAGGTGTAAGCCACTGTGCCCAGCCCACACAAAACTTTTTGATAAGTAGATTTGTTTTGTGGTTTTCTGATATTTGTTTATCTTACATAAATGATATCACACTAAAAAGATAAGTTACTGCGGTCTGGTGCGATCCATGATAACAAGCATAGCTCTGAGAAGGCACTGAGATGGAGGGGCATAAAGAAGTGAAAGGGATAGTTCAGGAAGATATTCATATAGTCTGTTGACATATTACTTTTGTTATCAGAAATCAATATAGTTTACCTTAAATTAACAATTCTCTCAAGTAAATAATTATGACAGAAACCTAGTAGAAAATGAAGAAACAAAGCGTTCTAACCGTCATACCAGAGCCATGAGAATGTCCATGACCTCCATGTTTGAAAACAAATATTCCTATTAGGTTTACCACAAACCCAAGAATGGAAACAAGTAGCAGTCTCTCATGGTGGACATCCGGAGGGGCTAATGCTCTCTAGAAAACAAACAAATGGCATTGATATTATTTCTGATTGATCAACTAACAAAATCATAAGACAATATTAAACACTTTCAGTTATTTTTGGAATTCAAAGCACTAAAAAAACCTCCCAAAACAGTTCATAGAAATAAAACCAGTGCTCACATACTGTAGAAAAAGTAACAATTACTATTTTACAATACATATAAATGTTTAAAAGCATAAATATTTCGTCCAAAACTTGTTCTTATTTGGTATCTTAAAATGCTGCCTTTCATGGCTCACGCCTGTAATCCCAGCACTTTGGGAGGTTGAGGCAGGCGGATCACCTGAGGTCAGGAGTTTAAGACCAACCTGACCAACATGGTGAAACCCCATCTCAACTAAAAAAAAAAAAAAATTAGCTGGGCATGGTGGTGGGTGCCTGTAATCCAACCTACTCGGGAGGCTGAGGCAGGAGAATCGCTTAGACCCACGAGGCAGAGGTTGCAGTAAGCCAAGATCGTGCCACTACACTCCAGCCTGGGCAACAGAGCGAGATTCCATCTCAAAAAAAAAAAAAAAACATACTGCCTTTCATTTTAAGTTCACTAATCTTTACATTTTCTTCCTTTTTAAAAAATACACCAAATGTTAAAGATTCACTGGCAAAACTCTCAGGTTCTAATTTCTTTAGAAATACTTCCCTATTGACCTCACTATCCAGATTGTACCTCTACATTTCACAGCGTTAACACTTCATCCATAACTTGTAAAGCACTATCATTTAATTGTTTTCAATTCCAAGAAGATTCATATATATTTAATTTTCCAACTATTTTGCAAGTTCCTCTTGTACACACAAAATATCTAATCCAAGATTGTTCACGATATTTAATAATAGTCAGAAAAAGCTCTGTTATATATCTTTAATTAATAAACATTTTCATTACAGAAATGTAATTTATTGACTTTAATCATTATCTACTATACCTCAACTCCTTCTGAGAAAATAAAAAAAGCAGTGAAGATCAAAAATAGGCCATTGACAAAGCCAGCCAGAACTTCCGCTCTAACATACCTAAAGAGGAACAAAGTCAATAACTTAATTCTTGTGTTATTTCTTAAAAATTAAATCATAAAATTACATACATTCAGAGATTCCAAACCATATTATATGGTTATAAGTGGTTAGCAAAGTCCTAGTGTTTATAGTACAGTGCATTTTATTTTATATACAGTAGAAATGAGGAAATGAATTATTATGAATTGTTTAAAAGCAGAATGCCACAAAACACAGATTTTTACAAGCCAATCAAAAGATCTTCTTAAGAGTAAGTAGTTTTAGAAAGACCTTTCACAGAAATTTAAATCTCAAGTTGTTACTGGAGAAGGAAAAACAGAACCAGACAAGTGGACAAACAAAGAAGGATTAACAGATAAAAAGTAAAACAAAGGGTCTGGAAAAGGGTTTTTTTTTAACTTATTAATTTCTCTTTTTCTAAGAACCCCTTATGCTTTCTGCTTTGTACCTTTTAGCTTTCAAATCTTTGGAAAGTAGAGCTTTGATCTGAAGGAAAATAAAATTATTTCTGATTTATCCCAGAGACAACTTGAGATTTATATTTCTAACACTTTTTCTAAGATTAATAAATTTAGAATAAACTTTCAATTACCTATTTTTAGAACCAATTTTAGCTTCACATAATTCTAATTAAACTGTTTTTAAAATACCTGTCTTTTGTTCCATGGAGTTCTGAAGCTTTCTGCTTCCTACCTGTGTGAAGCATTGGGGAAAGATTTTATTTTTCCATATGGTGTATTTGGCTTAGTTAAAGTAATCAGGAACAACTTTAACTTAGCATTTTTACACGATCAAACATCATTCAAAGGATGCTAACAGCAGTTAACCACTTTGGTCCTTAAACAATATAATGAGAGCATCAAAACTCATGCTTTTCCTAGGTTTCTATGTTAACTTCTAGGTAATACAATTTTTACTATAAAAATATTTTTAAAGAGAATTCCTGAAAATGTACTCTATTAAGTTATGTTGGAGTTTGTCCTGTCAAGCGCATTCCAACATAGCATGTATTTCTATCCCAGAAATAATGCATATTTCTATCTTCTAACACATTAAATAACATACTACTTATCAAAACGTTTTTGTTTTTTTTTTTTTCTGGAGAAAAGTTCATTAAATTCAAATAATTTGCAGCCAGCATTCCATAACCTACACTTAGGAATTTATGTAATAAATCAGCACGGTTACTATCCAAAAGTAAAAAGTATTTTCTTTTAATCTACCTTTGTAGTCCCATAACTAATGCTTGACTGAAAGTCTTTTGTGCTTGAGTTCTACCAGATTTCAAGATCAAAGGCAAGAATGTTTTTCAGGCATCTTTTTGTTTCTAATTCCTAGCTTAGTAGGTGTGCTCCCTAAGTGCAGATAAACTGCTGGAGTGATTTAATTAGCTTGAGTTTAAGATATATTTGTTAAACTTGGTTGTAGGTTCAAAACAAAAACTCATGAAAACTAAACACATTTGCCTTTACAAATAGCTGTGTTTACTTAACAGATTGAGAAGGTCTTAGAATGAGAACATGTAATTCATGAATGTGCTGTTGCCTAATTAAGTATGGTTAGTGTTTAGATTCTTGAGCCAGGAAGAAAAATAGAAAAGATTTAAGTATAGGTACATATGGATATACGCACGTATGTACGTATCTATCTACCTACTGGATGTATATTACTTTTATGCTGGCTTTGCTCTTTAAAAAATAAGAGTGTGGCAAGACACAAAGATGACTTTTATTTAAAGAAATACTTAAGAGTCCTTGCTTGCTCTCATATTCCCCAACTCTTTCTTCTATTGCAGAGTCAGTCCACTACCGCGGTTATCCTGAATTGGGAGGGTTTTATGAGAATTCAACTCCATGTTTAACATGAATTAATCAGTGTCATTTTGATATACTGCCACCAGTAGTTTACAAATGATGCTACTTATTACTATACCAATTATTCATAGTGTTAAATATTGTACCAGCTTTTATTCTTTAATCTTTCCCAAAAGAAAACATACACACACATACACACACAAACACATACAGAAGGAGAGGACAGGATTAAATTAAAAGTGGAAAGAATATTATTCTCTTATATCAACTAGCTAAAGCTGAATATTAAAATCTGCTACAGTACTGAAGGTATTCAAAGCTATTCCTAAAATCCATTTTAGAGCAGGAGACAATACATTCTAAATTGGAAACAAAAGAAACTCTAAGCATTAAAGAACTGAGAATTTTTAATAGTCGGCTACTGTTTATTCAGAAAGATTGTTGAATAAGCTATTCTAATTAGATTTCTGATATATAATATAGATTACTAATTTTCCAACAAAAAATTATAACTTTGGATATAATCTTTCTTTAATAATATAAAATATACTTAGGAATCTTTTAGTAACCACTGTTTAAATTGCAAATCACCAATATCATGCCATAAAAAGTGTTCTTATCTGAGCTGTCAAGCTGTTTGAATTTATACATATACAGGATCTACTGCTCTATATTATAAAATGTACAATTAGTATTTTTTGGCTCACTTTTTATAATTAAACAAATAACCACATCTCTTGGTTATAACTAAAATCAGCAAGTTCTGCCACAGAACTTCACATCTCCTTTTTAGCAATTGTCACAATATAAAGCTATTATTATATTTTTACTAAACTGTTTCCCCAAGAGACAAGTTCCTGCAAGGCAGGAGGCATGTCTTTACATCATTAGATCATTTTTACATCATTAGAACTAGAAAAGTATTTGACTCATATGAACCCTCAATAAATATCTAAAGAGAACAAGAACAAGAACATGTGAAAGAAACAGTGTGTGCTTGCTAAAGGAAAGAAGCAAAGCCAGGGAGAAAGAGGGAGTAGTGAAGGACCAAAAGTAAAAAACATAACAAGAGGCCTAAGAGAGTGCATGTAAGAAGATGGATGTAAAAAGGACAGGGAGAGAGTGAGAGAAACTGCACAGGAAAGGGAAAGCTCAGGGAAGGAGAATCAGTGAAGGAAGGAAAGAGAGACTTGGAAAGGGAGACAAAAAAGAAACAGAGTTAAAGAAGTTAACAGAAGAGGAGGAGGACAGACAGAGCCTAAGAGATAAAGGGGTAAAAGGTAGAGGAAAAGAGCAGAAGAAAAGAAAGAATAAGACAGGAAAGGTATAGGGGCACAGAAGAAGAGAGAAAAAAAGATCACGAGCACAAGCCCAAGTACAAGAGGCAAAGAACAAGAGAAGGAAAAGGGAGTTCAGGAGAAGATAAGAGAGAGTAAGAGGATGAGGATGGGAACAAGAGTGAGAGAAAGAAAATATGAGAGACAGATGAAGAAGGAAGAGAATGTAAAAGAGCACTTGCAGGGGAAAGGAAGAGAAGAGGAGGAAAAGGACAAAGGGGAAGAATCAAAAAGAAGAGAGAGGGAATAGAAAAGACAAAGGGGTGGGGAAGAGAAAGAAACAGAGTATGCATCCTGAGCTCTGCTTACACGTATATACAGTTATACTGCAAATATTCTATGAACTCAAAACAGGAAACACTTAGTGTAATCAAATAATGAAAAAATCCATTGCTTCCTCCAATCAGAGGTGGCGGAAATCAAATTATGCCTCTATGATGATCCAATGTAGTCCCTTCAGCATAAAGATACTCTACAAACATTTGATTAATTTTCCAAATCAGCAAGCATATAAGAACTGTTACATAAAAGCAGAGCTAAAGAGGATAATATAAAACCATATTAGAAAATGATTTTAAATAAATCAACAGCAAAGTACCCATTCAAAAAGAAAAAAGCAAAAGCAAAAGCAAAAAAAAATGCCTATTTTCATATATTAAAACTTTCTTCAAAAAAAAAAAGTTGAGAAATTCCTTTATATGGTAGCAATCTCAACAAATTACTGAAGATTCCAATTATATACTGTTTAAAAATTCATCCATGAAGTTATGAAAGCGGTTACCCTTGGGGAAGTAGGAACTCAAAGACGCCTGAGTGGGGACTTCAAAGATTCAAAAGTTACAGGTGTGTTCAATTTTTAACAAGTCACTGAGCTTAAGATTAGTGTTTTTTGTGTATATCTTATATTTCAATAAAAAGGATTTTTTTCTTAAAGTCTTACCCGTAAGAGAAAGCATCATTATCTCTCCATTTTGAAATAACAGAAGCTGCCAGTCCAGCCAAAATGGCAGTGCTATCGAAAAACATGTGAAAAGAGTCGGAAATCAAGCCTAAGCTGGAAAAGAACAAACACATTGACAAATTACAATAAAAACCTAATAGTAGGCATCCTTCTCTGAAAGTCTAAGATTCAGCTTCTGTTCATCAGGAATTAACCATCTAAAACAACAATTTAAATATGCTATATAGATAGCTATTGAGGATAAGTTTCAAATATCTAAAAAGTAAACCCTCATACCTCCTGCACAAGGAAAAGCCCAGCTGCTGTGAGAGAGGCAGAAACAAAACCATCTGCTGCTGAGTGAGGGGTAGGAATGTGACCACCCCTTGGTCACTTGCAAAGCTCAGCTGCCACTGAAAGACTGGTAGGAAAAAAAAGCCATCTACTACTGGGACGAAGCTGATACCTACTTGCTCCCAGGATCTTACAAAGCAAAGGTCTGCTATTGTTGAGTATCCTGCTCCTCCCTTTTGATACCAGGCTGAGGACAGTGGGGACAGGCTGAGAGACAGGGAGAGCTGCAGGATCATTAATACTCACCCTGACACTCAGGTGCACAGCATTGCCTGACTAGGGATACAACAAGAGAACCGAGTCCTACCCTCCCCACCAAGCCTTGAATAAAGTATAGGGAACGGTAAACTACCAGTGAGAGCACAAAGAGATATGTGCAGAACTTGCTAAAAGCTGAGAGTGGAGGAAGAACCCTGAAAAAATCCTCCAGTACTCCAAATGCAATACTAATCACAAAGTACTAGGAACCACTGAAAAATTTAAAGGCTGTGATTTGTTGAAATCAGCAACAACAAAACACAAAACCCAGCTCAACCCCAGTTCAACTATTGACCAGATAGTTTCAAAACTCCCATATTAATGGCCAGGCAGAAAAATAGGTGTGCCCATTTCCAGACATATACAGTCTCTATTATTCTTCTAAACAATGTCCAGCACTCAATGACAAAATCAAGAAAAAAAAAAGAGACTCATTGTTAAGAGTTACAACAGTCAACAGAACCAGAAATGGCCCAGATATTGGAACTATTAGATAGGACTTTAAAACAAATACAATTAATATGTTAAAGGATGTGGTATAAAATCAGAGAAAATTCATTAACAAATGAAGAATTTCCACAGATAAAAACTATAAAATAATATAATGGAAATGATAATTTTTTAAAAATTACAATATGGAGTAATAATAGTCATGGGCTTCTGAGCAGACTGGACACAGAAAGAATCAGTTAGGTCAAAAGAAGTTATACAAAGTGCAACACAAAGAGAAAAGGGAGTAGAAACAAACATACAAACTTTCCCAAACCAGTCTGGAAGTATTGAGCATACTAACACATATGCATTTAGAGTCTCGGGAACTGAAAAGAAAAAAAGGAAGGAAAAGCATTTAAAAAGAAAATGTTTGAGAGTTTTCTGAAATTCATAAAAGAAAATAAATTACAGAGCCAAGAAGCTTAATGAATCCCAAGCAAGGAAAAAAACCCTACATACTTCACAAACCACTAAACACCAAAGAGAAAGAAAAAAATCTTAGAAAACCAGAGGGGAAAAAAGAGAAAAACTAAATTAAAAAAATAAAAATACAATTTATAGCATGTTTTTCTTCAGAAACTATTCAAGCCAGAATGCAATGGAGCAACATCTTTAAAGTACTGAAAAACCAAAAAAAAAAAAAAAATACTGTCAACAACCTAAGGTATGACAGTAATAGCACACAGAACGGAATAAAAAAATCAAAGTGTATTATTTTAAGGTTCTTATCAGATACATGAAATGATATATTATTTGTGATAATTTAAAGATTAATATTATACATACTAAAGCACCCACTAAGAAAAGCCACCAAAAGAAGGGCAGGAAATCTTCTACCAACACAAAGCAGACGTTCTGCTACCACTGGGGATGGAGCAGGAAAGTTGTTTCCATCCAGGACCATACACATACACAGAGTAGAGTTTGGCTTCACAGGAGGAGTAAAAATGTTGACAAAAATCACACTCCTGAAGTTTAGGCTTACAGAATCTACCAAAGACAGAAGTTTTGGGTCAAAGTCAACAAATACCCCTCTGCCTTCACCATAAACTGGGTACTGAGTAACAAGCAATAGCAGTCTATAGCTTGGGTAGGGGTAAGAGCATGAAGAAAAGAGCTTCTATGGCATAGGCACTATACAGGGACTACTAAAAGCACAAAGTCTAACCAACTGGTGGTCTGACAGACAAGGCATACCTATTTCCGATCATAAATACTATTACCCCAGTATCTACTGTTTTTTACTCATAATGTCCAATATTTGATAAAAAATTTCAAGATACACAAAAAGAGCCAAAAAAAAAAAAAAAAAAAAAGAAGTCACTGTGGAGAAAGCAGTTAACAGAACCAGACCAAGATAATGACCCAGATACTGGAGCTATCATAAACGGTAAATAATATGCTAAAGGATCGATGGAAAAAGTGGATAAAATATATGAACCAATGGGAAATTTGGTAAAGAAGTGGGAAATACAAAAAATAATCAAATGGAAATGCTAGAAACAAAAAACAAGTTATCAGCAATAAAGAATTCTTCCAATTGGCTTATCACAGACTGGACACAGCTGAGGAAAGAAATCCGTGAACCTGAAGTCAATAAAAATTTTCTGAAAGCAATCATCAGCTCAGTCTTTAAAAACAAGCTTCTGAAGTCAGAGTACCTGGGTTCAAATCCCAGCTCCATATTTACTAGTTCTGTGACCAGTAAGTTGCTTAACTTCTTTGTGCCTCGATTTAGCCATTACTTAAACAGAGTAATAGTATAAAAGTAACATAATTGTTATAATAATTGAGTTAATATATGTGAAACATTTACCACAATGCTTGTCACATTAAAACAACATTAATATTCCTGTTACTACTAATTATTAATAAATTACCTTGATTATTAATTATTAACTCTTATTAATGCTTACAATACCTGGTGTTCCCAAGCACAACCCATACCTCTTAATATTTGGCTAGATGCTAGAGCTTTCATCAGTTGGAAGTGCTACAAACTAAAAGTCAAAAACATTCTTCACACATACAGAAAAAGCACGGTTTTAAATTTTTCTCATAATTTGGAATAATTATATAATTAGAAACTAAGTCAAAGCACTTTATTTACCAACAAGAAAAAGCACAATAATTTTTATAAACCTCTGCCAAATCACTACAAAAGATTTTAGAAATCGTCTTAAACTTTTATCATGAACCTTATTTATTCCACTGAAATAGATATATTAGTTTAAGTGCAGATAGTACTTTAACCATCTCATCTGACATCTAACTCAAAGCAGAATGAGAACTGGTGAATAAATGGAAAAACAGAATAATAAAACTAATACATGAGAACAAGGTAAGGGGCATGTTATTCATGCAATTCTCTTAGATTTAATATTTTAAGATTTGCCCTTGGATAGATTACCGAAAATTACACACTTGAACCACAACATCTATGTAACATGGAAAATAATGATTTTACTTTATTTTGAAGTATGAAAGACTCATGTGAAGAATTTCTCTATACTGTGATAAAACCACCAATAAAGACATTGTCTATGATTTTGTTTTCTGAAATTTTTTCCATGAAAAGACTTATGGCAAAATACTGTTAAAATACGGTTTCAGAAAACTATCTTTCTATTCTGATAAAATGATAGAGTTGTGTTCACTTTATGGAATTTTATAACTAAATTTAAAAGTCAATTTTGGGAGCTAAACTAGATTAGGTTTAGTTTTTCCTCCCTAGGTATGGTTTCCTAATGTTTTTATTTCTTAATGTAAGTGCTTTATTAGTATATATAGCTTTTATTTGAAATGACTAATCAGTTTTAGAAGGCAGGGCATTCATTCTAAATAAATAAAAGCAAACATTTACCGATTTATTGATCTATATATTACTACCTATTTCAGTATATATTCAGTAAAACACTGTCATGGGTTAAATTGTGTTCCTGCCCCCAAATTCATATGTTGAAGTCCTAACCTCTAGTACCTGTGAATGTGACCTTATTAGTAACAGGCTCAATGCAGATATAATTAGTTAATATTAGGTCATTAAGGTTAGCCCTCATCCAGTGTCCTTATAAAAAAGAGAAATTTGGAAGAAGACACATAGATCACCATGCAAAGATAAGGAAGAGATCAGGTGATGCTCCTACAAACCAAAGACTGTCCAAGATTACCAGCAAACCAACTGAAGCTACAGAAAGATCATGGAACAGATTCTTCCTCAGAGCCCTCAGAAGAAATCAACCCTGATGATACTTTGATCTCAGACTTCTAATCTCCAGAACTGTGAGACAATAAATTTCTGTGGTTTAAGCCACCTAGTTTGTGGTGTTTTGTTACACCAGCCTAGCAAACTAATACACACTCCTTTTTTTTAACAAATTTATTTTATATGCATCCAACATACACCAAACATTGCGGTAATGCAAAAAAAAAAAAAAAAAAAAAAAAAATTTCTTTTGCATACAATAGCAGTCAAGTTCCTTTTAAAGAGGTGTGGATATAGCACAGCAATTTTAATACTCATCAAAATGAAATTTTATTTAAATTTTAAGTAAACTTAATTAGCATTAAAATATTATTTTTAGTACTTAATAAATTGTGACTACCTGAAAAACTACTCCCTCTTCTGAGATGGAAGAATATTATGTTCTTTTAAAACACTGCAATATGAGATCTTTTCCCTTAAACTTGATACCATGATCTAAAAATCACCTACCTGCAAATACACAAACTCATGGGAAAAACAGTCTACTTTTAGTTCTCTGCTCACCTATCACATTTAAAAATACTGTTTATGAGGGATGTCAATTTTACTGCTCATATTCAATTTTAGAAAATGTTTCTGATTATGAATTATATTTAAACTATATGGCATAAATTTCCTTAAAAAATAAAGGTAGCACAGAGAATACCTAAGGTTATATGACTGAAACACCAAAGTAAACCATGATAAAGTAAAGCTGGTTGTGAAAATCCATTTACTTGTAGACTCCTCTTCAAACACTGCTAGT